TCGAGAGGCCTTGTAAACAACAAAGACATGTTCCCTATTATTAAAAGGGGGACATTCCTAGTCTTGTATTGTTAGCTTCCGTTACTAAGAGGACCTAGCCGCTCGAGTGTTGCCGTTATAATCCCCATTTACGACAGACGTTTGACACCATCAAAACGGACTAGTATTCAAACAAGAGAACTTACAATACTCATGGTCGAGGAAAAAGGTTCCGATAGCTATAATAAGAAATATGCTTATGAGGATTTTAAATTTCTTAAAGTATTCACATAGGTTGATCCAGTATAGTTCCAAACCAATACCTGTGCAAATGATTTATGACAATCATTTCCTTGTAGCACAAGAAACGGTGCTATAAATCATACTACACACTAATCTCAAGTGGTCATTAACCGTCCATCATTTTAAATGACCTTAATTAGGGATAATTTTCTATTGAAATATTCAATGTTAACTTAACAAGTGTTTCTTTATCCAAGACATGGTCTTGATACGCTGTTTGAATATTCTCAGAAATTGAATGGACTCATTATTTTATTCTAAACCACAATTAAATAGAAATGGAGCAATAATAATTTTGTAGAAAAATTAAATTACTCTAAAAATGAATGGTTCAACACAGTGTTTTACATTATAACCTCGAATTTAATTAAAACACATGAATAGGGAAATCAAAGCCGATATCCAACGTGCCTGATTCCCATTGCCTCAACGTGCTTGTTGTGTTTCACTTGAGGCAAAGGTTTAGTGAGTGGATAGGCTACATTGTCGTCCGTTCCAATCTTACAAATTTTGATTTCACCCTTGGATTTCCATTCCCTTACCATGTGAAATCGCCTCTTGACATGTTTGACCTTCTGATGTTCCCTTGGCTCCTTGGCCTGAGCAATAGCTCCATTGTTATCGCAATAGAGGTCTATCGGCCCCTGGATGGAGGGTACAACATCAAGTTCACTAATGAACTTACGAATCCAAACTGCCTCCTTAGCTGCTTCTGAAGCTGCCAAGTATTCGGATTCAGTAGTAGAATCTGCAATGGTGCTTTGCTTAGCACTCTTTCAACTAAACGCTCCTCCATTTAGGCAGAATATGTACCCTGACTGCGACTTGGAGTCGTCTCTGTCAGTGTGGAAGCTCGCGTTAGTATAACCTTCAACAACCAAACCATTACTTCCACCATAAACCAGGAATTTATCCTTATTCCTTTTCAAGCACTTTAGGATATTCTTGGCCGCAGTCTAATGCGCCTCTCCTAGGTCTGATTGGTATCGGCTCGTAGCACTCAAGGCATACGATACATCCAGCCTAGTACATATCATGGCATACATGATCGATCCAATAAGCAAAGCATATGAAATCTGATTCATCCTCTCTCGCTCATCAGATGTCTGTGGACATTGCTTCTTGCTGAGAGTTATGCCATGTGACATGGGTAGGTGCCCTCTCTTGGCCCCTTCCATGTTGAATCTTGCCATTACCTTATCAATATATATACTTTGGCTCAATCCAATCATCTTTTTAGATCTATCCCGATAGATCTTGATGCCCAATATGTACTATGCCTCTCCCAAGTCTTTCATTGAAAAACACTTTCTAAGCCAAGTCTTTACAGACTCCAACATTGGAATGTTGTTTCCAATGAGCAATATGTCATTGACATATAAGACGAGGAATGCGATGTCACTCCCGCTGACCTTCTTGTAAACACAAGACTCATTTGGATTCTTGATAAAACCAAAATTTCTAATGGCTTCATCGAATCGCAGATTCCAACTTCTGCTTGCCTCCTTTAGTCCATAAATGGACTTCTTAAGCTTGCATACCTTCCCAGATTGCTTAGATCTATAAAACCTTCTGGCTGTGTCATATACACAGTTTCTTCCAAAAATCCCATTAAGGAAGGTGGTTTTGACATCCATTTGTCATATTTCATAATCATAATATGCGGCAATTGCTAGGATAATCCGAACGGACTTAAGCATGACGACTGGTGAAAAAGTTTCATCATAATCAAAGCCGTGAATTTGCCTGTAACCTTTTGCCACCAAAGCAAAGGTATTATTTTGACCAATTAAAAATTAGATTTGTAATTTATTTTAGAATTAAAAAATTCACTCACCACCTAAGAAAAAAGTGACGAATGAGATTTAAGAATTTTCCCACGTAGGTAAAAACAACGATAATAATGTATTAGGAATTAAATTTTGTAAGAAAACTAAAAAATTCACTCACCACCTAAGAGAAAAGTGATGTATGAGTTTAAGATTTTTTCCACGTAGGTAAAAACAATGAATAGTAATGTAATAGGATTTAAATTGTTTAAGAAAACTAAAAATGATCTTTTTTTATATATACAAAATATAAAAAATGTTTTTATATATGCAAAAAAGCCCTGCATTGCAGGTGGTTAAATCTAAAGTAGGCATGTTTCGGGAGTATTTAGCACGCCACATAAGCAAAGGTATTATTTTGACCAATCAAAAATTAGATTTGTTTTTTATTTTAGAATTAAAAAATTCACTCACCACCTAAGAAAAAGTGACAAATGAGATTTAAGAATTTTTCCACGCAAGTAAAAACAATAAATAATAATGCATTAGGATTTAAATTGTTTAAGAAATCTAAAAAATTCACTCACCACCTAAGAAAAAGCTGACAAATGAGATCTAAGAATTCACATAGGTAAAAAACAACGAATAGTAACGTATTGGGGTTTAAATTGTTTAAGAAAACTAAAATTATCTCTTAATTTTTTAAGAACTAAAAATTATATTTTGATATTAGTATTTAAATTATTTAGAAAATAAAATTGTCTTTTGATATTGATAGTTTTATCTAAATATCCTATGACTAAGATTATATTTTCATAAAAAAAAAAATTTAAAACTTATAATGCAAGAAAAACACTTTACCATCTTTAAACACTTATGCGAAATTTATATCAAAAATTTAAATAACTAAAAAAAAAAATTGTTAGAGATTAAGAGATCACTAAAAATATACAAAAATGATATATAAAAAAGTCGTGCATTGCACGGAGTTAAATCTAGTAAAACAATATGATTCTATTATGTGAGAAGACAAGAAAGATGGGAGTACTATCAACTATTTTTTTTATTTATTTTTTTTTTTTTAAAAAGTGCTAATTAATTACATTTTGATAAGATTTGATCTAAAATAAATAAGAAGGACCTTATATGTAGTGAACTAAACATATCCTTTTTTCTTATAATTATGATTAAACCTACAACTATATAAATCTAACTCATATCTTAATAATCTTATATAAATTTATAATGATAAACATTTCATACTTTATCATAATTATCAATTAGTAGACTAATAGGAAGTTGTATACTCGTAATTTTAAAAATCCAAATGTAGTAATACTATTTTAGATTATAAACTAGATAATTTCAGAGCCATATCCGGTAATTGAAATTTAAATATAGAAATCTCTAGAATTATGTAAGTAAAACTCAATCATAACAATAAATAATTAAATAATAAAGTTCCTAAGCAAATTATAAATTCTGCAAAAATCTAAAAAAATAAAATAAAAAATAAATAAAGTAGAGTTTAGGTGGTAAAATTCCCTCCAAAAAACTTTGCTTTGGCGTAGGTATATAGATAATAATCGAGGTTGTGTAACATTCTTGTAGTGTTATATATACGATTATTAAACAAATGGACAATAAAATGATCTTAGCATGACGTAAAATTGGTGATGATCCATATATATAATTCGATAACTGAATTATGACTATGACCAGATTTTTAACGAACAAACACATAGCCTATAATGATGTGATAATGTAACAATAATACAGAGTACCTTATAAATTAGTAAAGTACTTCGGATAAAGTGTGATAAACTAAACATGCTACAATCCCAGAAAACCCACTTAGAACCCGGTTTCAACTTGACCAAATTTAATCTAAATTAAATTGACTCATTGGTTTTTTTTTCATCGATCTAAATTGACCCACCAATGAAATGAACTCGTTTTAACCCAAACCTAATTTGACCTGCTACTCGATAAACCAGTCACGTATAATCATCGAATCGATTATAAACCAGACCACTATGAACCCAAACCCGCTTCCAAACCGATCTTTTTCAATCAAACCAATTATGACCCAAACCATTTACAACTTGATTCGAATTAAAACCTCACAAAAATAAACTGAAATATAACGGACCCGATAATAATCAGAATCGAATTGAACTGTACCGCCAGCCAAATGATTCCGTTTCAAACAGACTCATTTCAAATTGAAACCCCAAATCAAAACAGATTTGTCAAACTGAATTGACAGTGCGCTAATAAGCTCCAATAAGTTCAATAAGGTTTAATAAATTCAATAAGGTTTATTAAAGTCTAATAAGTTCAATTAAGTTTAGATAAGTTCAGTTGAAATAAGTTCAAATTCAATAAGGTGAGGAAAACACACCTTTAAACTTACTAGCAACCATAACTGAAAGCCCAAATACGAGACAAACCATCTTCAAATTCAACCAAGAGTTGGACCCAAAAAGGAGGAAAAAAGAATAAAATCTATACTAATATTTAAAGGCGTCTCTAAAAACATCGATGTGCCACGTATTCTCTTTTGTATTTTGTATTGCGTCACGTCACCTTCCCAACATCTCATGACGCCACGTCATCCAAGCAACCAATATTACTTCATATAAAAACATATGGATAAGGAGATTCAAACCCTCAACTTCTTACAACAAAGATGGTTATTTAACCATCTAAGCTAGATATAACTATGTTATTATTACATAAATACATTTATATAAGTGCAAACTATAAAGTTCAATTAAAATAAATAATAATAATAATAATAAAAAAAACTCAATTTTGGTTTGACAATGACAATTTCAGCTTTAAAAAGGCTTTAATAAAAATTATCGATTCTACAATAATAACAATCTGGGACGACGCCCGGGCTACTCACCACTGAGTTTTTAAAAAATGGGCTGACGTTAACACGAGTAATCAATTCTCCGTAATGAACAATACTTGACCCTATGAAAATTGAAACAAGTAGAAAGGGCATAAATGACCAACTACCCCAACTTCATAATAGTTGACAAGACTATATCCCCCTCTACATCATCATACTTAAATCGTCGCCATTTCTGAAACTCAAGCTTCTCTTTCTCTTTCTTCTCCTTCTCCTCTCTATTTCTCTTCACTTACCTTACTTTCGCTCTCCTCCCTCTTAAACTCCCACAATTCAACCCCTTAAACTGAGATTTACGACTTTGCTACTATTCGTGTCCTCAAATTTTAAATTACTATTGTAGAACTATTCAAGGGGAAGAAGATCTTTATACTATGTATGGAATCCTCGTCTCGATACACGATGCGTACTCTTGTTAAATTGTTCACATGTTGAAGATCTAATGTCAATTTCGGCTTCGTTTAATTCATAATGTAATGCATCCGGTTTTTCTGTCTGCCTTCAAATTTTTTCCTCATTTTAGTTTTCATTCACTTTGGTAGTTTAAGAGATCTGTAAAATTATTGATGTTCAAAACAAGAAATTATTCGTGGTGTAACAAAATATTTGAGTATAATTTTTTTTCCTTTTATTTTCATGGTTTTTTCGTCCTATTGTAAATTTCATCTTTTCCTTATTAGTTGGTTTAGTTGAAGCTCGTTTGTTTCTCAAATATGCGGAAATTACAACTACCAAATTGATAAAACTTTTCAATTTTTCAATGGAGTATTTTTTTGTTTCTTCCAAATTTGTCATCTTATTATTGAGCAGCATGTTTCTAATTGTATGTTTTGTAACTGAATTGGCAAATTTGAGATCGATTTTAAGATTTCAGAACGAATGAAGTTGTAAGTATAAGGTGAAAAAATCAAGAAAAATAGTTGTAACTAATGTACAATTTCATTCTATGTTGCAATTTTACAAATAGATCTTAAAGTTTCACCAGATCTTACTAGATTATCTCGCTTCAACAACTCAATATCAATGAATACATTTTTTTTTTTACAGGTATCAGACAATGAACCCAGATAATTTGGGTTCAAGTAGCATTAGAAAATCAAATACAAACAATTTCAAATCAAGTAAAGAAGATCATCAAAACGGCGGCGGCGAAAACGGAAGAATAGCAAATAATGGTACTCAGGTTGTGACGACGACGACAACATCAACTAGTAACAGTTTGGAAGGAAATGGAGTAATACACAAATCTCCTCCAAAAACAAATCAACAAAATGAAAGCAATCACCACCACACCAACCACCATCACCACTCTGCCGCATCGAGCTCTTCAGCGGTTAATCCGAGCCATGAAAGCAGCCCAAGCCGAAGCAACGCCTGCCTCGGCGGAGGCGGAAGTAGTGGTGATATGCTGCTACAATGGGGTCAGAATAAAAGATCGAGGTGTTCAAGGACAGAAAGTCGGTCCATGGTTAGTGATGTATTGGACAAACATCATATTAGTAATAATAATCATGTAATGCCACCTCCTCATCCAAATTCAAATCCAACTCCGCCGTCTTTGCCGTCCACTTCTACTAGTAATGGTAGTAGAAGTGGTGGTTCTACCAGAGTTCGACAACAAGGATTACTCTATAACAAAGATACCCCTTTCTCTACCAAAAATAGGTATTTATTGTTTAATTTCTTTCATTCATTTTTCTCAATATAAAAACTCGGTTTTGATTTAATTTGATAAAAAGGTAATTTTCCTTATAGAATTATCATTTTTTTTGAAAAACATTTAATGGGTTTTTGGTCTATTGATTCATCTTGTAAACTCTCTAATTGCTGGATCTAATTTTTTTTTTTTTTTGTTAGAGAAGATTGGTGATTTATTGACTGTTATACCCTCTTAAAAAGAAGAAGAGTTTTGTTATAATCTATTCTCATTATTATGATGATGGGTAGTGGGCTTATTGGGTATTTAATTAAAAGATAAATAATAATGATTTGAAAATATAAAAAGTTTTTTCTTAAAATTTCCAATTTCCAGCTATATATGGTGATTTTCTCCGTTGTCAGCAATTGAGGGAGAAGGTTTAGGGTGTGATGTATTCATTCTAGTATTTCTTTAGTTATTTACTTTGTTTATACCCTTTTTAACCCTCTACATGTGGATAAAAATAAAAAAGACACTAATCCTAATCACTGTTGTATGTTTTTGCTTTCCTAGATGGATATATATAATACGGAATATATAAGTGTATATAACTTCTCCCGTAACCTATAATTTAAAAATTGTTGCAGCCAACAGTCTTAAACAAATTCTGCTGTTAAATTGTTGTTGTTGGTGTGATGCATAGGAACTTGGTTGATCAAATGGGTACACATAGCGCGTCGCCGTCCAGGAATGGCGGTGGTAGTAGCCGTCCGATTTCTAGATCTACTGTGGGGAAGCGATCCCCATCTTGTACCGAGAAGAATGATAAGAAGGTATCATCTTCTGGGGCAATTAGGAAAGTGAAATCAGATGATTCATTAGCGCCCCATACAAGCAATGGAAATCATCATGTTGAATTAGCTCATGTAGACCATGAGCACGGTGGTGGGGGTGCCGCCTCGATGACCCGATCCCCGGTGGCGGACACCGAAAAAGGAGGTAATGAAGTGGTTGAATGGCCAAGGATTTACCTATCACTTTCAAGAAAGGAAAAGGAAGATGATTTTTATGCAATGAAGGGTACTAAACTACCTCATAGACCCAAAAAGAGGGCTAAGGCTGTTGATAGAGCCCTTCAGGTAATTCAATTTGTTTCTTGTAATTCGAATTAAATAATTTCGAATAGTACTAATTTTAAGACAAGTTTTCAATTTAATTGCTCATTTTTATTTTGTGGTTCTAGTATTGTTTTCCAGGTCTTTGGCTTTCTGATTTGACGAGGGCAAGATATGAAGTTAGAGAAAGAAAGAGTGCCAAGAAGGTAAGTTTTTTTTTTTTTTTTTTTTTTTTTTTTCTTTTTTGTTGTGCCGCTGCTTGTTTGTTTAATACACCCGTGAATTGTGGGTAGTGACTTGGTCTTTATTGCTTTCTTTGAAAATTAACTAATTAAAAGAGTTTTGGGTTGTTGGATTTAAGATAATATGGAGTACTTGTATAGAATATAGATATTTGTGGTTGGATGGCCGAACTATCTTTGGTCAGATGGAGTGGATGCATAATATATAGAGTAATACGAAGTACTCGTACTTTCTCTGTTCGGATTTAGTGTTGTTTTTAATTCAAATGTGACTAGTTTTAGATGAACTTTATTTTGTTGAGGGTCGTTTGAGATTTGTTGAAACACATTTTGACTTATGTCAATTTTGATTTTAAAATAGATGTTTTTAAAATGAACTCCATTTATTATATGCCGATCAAAGAGTTAGCCTTTAAATTTGCCTCCCTACTGTTAATTTTTTTTTTTTTTTACCCTTTAAAGGAAAACATAATTAAAGCTCCATTTATTATTTGTCTGATCACCCTAGAGCTAATTTATCGTGTTTTCAGTTGTAAAAGTTGAGAAACAAAAGATTACAAAAGAGAAGAAAAAAATTCATTGTATTTTTGGCGAAGAGAATGATTAATTTTTAGCTGGGTAGAAGGAAAAGACAAAGGATAATGCAAGATAAAGGGAAAATAACATGCCATTTTTCTTTGGACCCATATAAGAAGTTTAGCAAGATATTATTATCTATTATCTCTATTCAAATTTATTTGTATGCATCAAAAAAAAAAAAAAAAATTGTTGTCGTTGCTGATTATATCTTATCACATAAGTGTTGGTTTAGTGGAAAGAATAGACCTTTTGTTTTAAGGTTAGGAGTTCAATCCCGCTACGGGCTCTCTCGTCGGTTCCCATCAAACAATATGAATTATTCTAATTTTGGAAATAGGGGTGAGTTTGGAAAGCAATTTTTTGCCATTTTTTGGAGATATTTATTAAATAGGAAACCAAATGACATTTCACATCATCATTATCAATTATGTTACTGTAGTTTTTTAAAGTTTTATACATTCAATGTTTAGTTCTTGGTTGGCATAGTTGTGGCTAAGTAAGCACAATTTGAGTAAAAGTTGTACCAATAATTTCTCGTTTAACGCTTTTTTCTTAGTTGGCTAATCTTGGTTAAAACACAAATTTGACGGGTTTTGCTAAACTCTGAATATCTTGCAGCCAAAACGACGGGGATTGAAAGGACTAGAGACCATGGAAAGTGAATCAGAGTAGAATGCAAGACGAAAGCTACCTCAACGACCGCCCTTTTTGAAGAAACTATTGCCCCCAGCAACCACATGCTCTCTAATATATTTTGAGAACTATAGCTTTTGCATCTTTCAAGCACGAGCTTTGTTCTTCAGTTTTCCTTTTGATGGGGGAGGGTGGCGTCTAGTATTTTGTATTTCTTGACAAGGTCTAGCATTACCGCGAGTAAAGTTTCATCTCGAGGATAAATATATTGAAAAGAATGTAGGGGGTTTTAGGGGCAACCCAGCTTGTTGTAATGGTAAATTTGAATATGGATGAGAAGGAAAATATCAAATATGTGCATTCTTTGTTGATCTGTGTACAGATCTTAATTAATAATGATCGGGTGAATACAAGGGGAAAAAAAAAAATACTCGTTGAAAATTTCTCTAAAATACTATGTGCAAAGTAGTGCAATGACTACCTTAACTGCGAAACATCGTCTGTAAATCTCTACATAAAGACCACAAATTTTAGATGAAGTGACACTTTTGCCCTTATATGTTTAAAAAAAAAACCTCTCACACACTCTTTCTCTCTACTCTCATCACCTCTCTAAAAAAAAAATTCAAACTACAATGTCGAGGCGGCAAGGCAATAAATTGGCGGCAGTGGAGGCGGAGGGAAGGCGATCACACGATGGCAAGGTATTTATTTAAAAAATAAAAAATAAAAAATAAAAACAAAAACAAACCTCAAAGAGGCGGGGCGCTGGGAGGACGTCGTGGCCACGGTGGCGGCGCCCAAGCCAGACGCCAGCCCCACGGCAGCGACTGCTGGGCGGGACGCCACGACCACGGTGGTGGCGTCTTGCGTGGGCGCCGCTGTTGTGGCCTTGGCGTCCTGCCCAGCCGCCGCCTACTTTTTATTTTTTTTAATTTTTTTGTTTATGTTTATATTTTTTTTTCAGTTTTTTCAGTTTTTTGTGATTTTTTTTATTTTTTTTTTCAGATTTTTTTGTTTATGTTTATATATTTTTTTTCAATTATTTGTATATATTTTTTTATTTTTATATTTTTTTTCAAATTTGTTGTATTTTTTTATGTTTATATTTATTTTTCAATTATTTGTATCTTTTTTGTTTATTTTATATATTTTTTTTCCAATTCTGTGGTATTTTTTTTTATTTTTTTATGTTTATATTTATTTTGTATGTTTTGGTATTTTTTTTTCTTTTTGTGTGTATTTTTTTTGTTTATATATTTTTTTTCCAGTGTTTTGTAATTTTTTTTATGTCAATTTATTAGTTTTTTTTTTATTTGATATTTTTTTGGTTAGTTATTTCTAAATTTTGTTATTGGTACTTAAAGAAATAGAATAATAATAATAATAATAATAATAATAATAATAACAACAACTTCTATTATTTTTCGTTATTTAAATGGAGTTAGGTATCGCATTTTCGACCTGGTGGGGGGAAGAGTATGGACGTTATTAGAAGTAGAAACTACTCAATGGAGAGCTCGGGGCTCAGACACGTTAGATCCCGTGGTATTTCGGCCTCAGCTCACAGAAAACGGGTTCACTATTCTGAGGAGGATGAAGATGATAATGGTGATGAGGAGGAGGAGGTGGACGCAGATGAGGATGTGGTGCTTGGGATGGACGATCAGAGTGGATCATATGATGATTACGGTCCATTTAGTCAGAGGCTTGATGATATGTATAAGACGCATAGGGTAGATATGCGTAAGGGTAGAGTTGGTAGATTTGTTAGTAGATCTGGCACATTATCTGCGTCCACTATGTCTGCGATAAGCAGAAAACGGTCGAGGGCCATTAATGATTCTTGGGTGGTGAGGGGTGAGGTGGCCGAGGGACCTGTAGACGGGAGTGTGATTCCTAGCTTTCTAGGACACATAGCTACTCGTATATGGGAGGACCAGGAGAGGCCTTTGGATACGGGCATTTTGAAATGCCAAACCCGGGAAAAGACTTGTAACTTTTTGTGTAGATGGGCTGAGGCTTGGCTGGAGGAGAGCGAAATGTTCGGCTGATTGCAAGGCACTAAAGTGAGTCACCATCCTGCCACCATGCACGATAAGATTGACTCATCGCTGATCACAGCTTTCGCTGAGCGATGGCAGTCGAATACGAACTCTTTCCACCTTCCGTTCGGTGAGATGACGATCATGTTGCATGACGTCGAGGCCATCCTTGGGATTTGCGCAAAAGGAAAACGACTTTTTGTTGTGACTGATGCGGATCAAACAGATTTACTACTGGAGCTGTTGGCGGTGGATAGAGCTGCGCTGTACACCGAGGCGCTTGGTGTTTGGGATCACGGCTGTGTGAAGATCGCATCCGTTTTGCAGCATTGTTTGCACCCCACTGCACGTAGGACGCATGACACACAACTGGCTGCATATGTTTTTCTTCTCCTCGGGTGTACCTTGTTTCCGGATAAGAGCGGAAACAAGCTCAGGCCACGCGACATAGTTGATGCGTGTGAGCTCGACAGAGTAGGCCAATTTTCTTGGGGGTCGGCTATGTTGGCGTATCTGTATCACCAATTAGGATTCTCGAGTCGGGCTGACATGGCAGGTATCACTGAATGTCTGACTTTATTACAGACCTGGATATACGAGTATTTTCTTGCATTTCGACCACACCGCGACCCGGTTCCTATCGAGGATGGGATGCCACGTGCCCGTGCGTGGAGTCCGCGGTTCGAGAAGAAGTCTGTTGACCGCCTCCAATCAGTACGGTTATTGCTTGACAGGATGTCCCCCTTAGAGGTAAAGTGTATAAATTATTTCTAATTTTATATTGTGATGCATTTATTATATGAATCTTACTAATTTGAAAAAAGGGATATTCTATTTGGTGACCTTGTGGTTTTAAAAATTCTACATGGAAGACGAACTTTTTTTGGACTCTCTTCAGTGGCACAAAGGTTTAGAATAATTGACCATAATGACCTTTTTTAGGTTTATGGCTAACCTTTATGGTTAAAATGGTTAACCTTTGATTTTTTTTTTATTAAAAAATTATTTAAATTATATTTTAAAATAATAAAATTAAAAAAAAAAAATCACCACTAGCCATTCTAATACTCTACCCTGCCCAACGCCCAAACCCAATCCACCTGCCCCCGGTGTCGGCCGCTCCCAAACCTTCCTCCCCCGGTGCCGACGCCGACTCCCTCCCCAGTCGCGACACCTCCCTTTCCTCCCTCCTGGATCCCCCACAAAACCCACGAAATCCCTAACTGAAACCCCTAATCAAGCAGCCCCGACCTTTAGAGAGGTGGCTGGTTTGGGCTGGAGAGAGAAGGAGAGGTTGCAGGTTTGGGCTAGAGAGAGAGGAAGAGGAGAGGTTACGGGTTTGGGTTGGAAAGAGAGGGAGAGGATAGGTTGCGGGTTGCTTGCGATGCTGCTGGGCGGTTTTGCGAGTTGCGGGTTACGAAGGAGAGGGACAGGTTGCTGGTTGCGGGTTGCTTGCGAAGGAGATCTGGGGTTGTGGGTTGCTTGCGATGGCAGTTAGCACGGTTGTTCGGTTGCGGCATGGTGGTGGAAAGGTGGAGGTTGGAGTTGTGCGGTGTTGAGAGATGATGGGGTTGTGACTTAGTGAGGTAGGTGGTGGCTGGGCGGTTTTGGTGGGTGTTTGGCTTGTGGGCTGCGAAGTTGCTGCCGGATTTTGGAGAGGAAGATGGTGTTGCTGCCGGTGCTTGGAGGGGAAGGTGGTTGGAGGGGAGGATTTTTTTTTATTAATTTTTTTTAATTTTATTATTTTAAAATATAATTTAAATAATTTTTTTAATAAAAAAAAATATCAAAGGTTAACCATTTTAATTAAAAAGGTTAGCCATAAACCTAAAAAAGGTCACTATGGTCAATTATTCTAAACCTTGGTGCCACTGAAGAGAGTCCAAAAAAAGTTCGTCTTCCATGTAGAATTTTTAAAACCATGAGGCTACCAAATAGAATATCCCTTGAAAAAATGTGTAGGTGATTTGGATGCCTTTCGGCAAGAACCCTAGTAATAGGGTACCCAGGACCCTCTACACGGGACTGATTCAATATTGTGATCATAGATGCGTACATGCCAGCGCTGTCTTCGCCAGCTTGGATTTGTCCAAGTTGTCCCTCCTCCACCAGCATGGCCCAGTAAGGCGGTCCGATCTGCGTCGTCAAATGGTCGGAAAACATGATTGCCACGTGGGAGCAGTTTCCGATGGTTGCCCGCCTATGGACTACGGAGCTGCAGAGGCCGACAACTAGGGTGCTTCCCATGTGTGACCACCACTACATGGAATGGTACAACCAGTATTTGCACCCGAGGTTAATCAGAGACCTCCACCATGGTGACGACGCCGATGGTGATGATGATGTGCCACCGCCCACTGCCGTGGATGCGGTTTGTCTCATAAAACATTTATTGTTGTGTTATTTATTTATTTATTTATTTATTATTATTATTATATATCGTTATTGAATTTTATGTTTTTTTGTTGTGTGTAGTGGATGGGAAAGATGATGCAGCTGGGACAAAGACTCTTTCAGGAGAGGGACAACATGACGACTGCATTCGACAGAGCTGTTATTGATGATATGGAACAGGCCCTTGCGCAGTGGACGTGGGCGTCAAAGAGGGATTACCGATCTGTTGGCAATTTATTAATAGAACATTTTGTACATTATCATAGTAGTTTGTAAAATCTGACATTATCATTTAAGTTTGTCACATTTGACATTATCATTTTAAGTTTTTAAAATTTGACATTATCTTTTTAGTTTGTAACGCGCAAATACTAATTAGTATGCATGCACGATATAAATGTAGTCAAAATTAGAATACAAAAAATAATTAAATGGAATAAAAATAGTAATACAAATAAAAGGTTATATAGAAAAGGTATACGCATGAAAAACTAAAAGGCAGCTAGCTTGTTCCAGTGGTGGATGCGGTCATGATACAACACATCCCAACCCTCTACGCTTGGTCTGCGAATGGTGTACCACCGAGGTATGATCGGTGGCACCGGAAAATCGGATGACAGGTCCAATCGGATGAAATGTCTATATGATGACACCAGAAATGCAATAGCTAACTCTCTTACCGGTCTGGTAACGGTCGCATGCGAACACCAAGGGAGAACCGTGGTTCATGGAAAATAAGCTCGACTATGCAAACCAAGCCCGAAATGCATGACTGCACACTTGTAGATGTTTGCAACGACAAAGAGATCAAGTGGCGCGTCGAACCAATGATTTTGACCGCAAGGTCCTCGACCCCACCAAATACGCCGCAGAGAACTATCCAAGTCTTGGCCGTACACATGACGATAAACATCTCAGTTTGAGGCAATTTCAC